TTTTTAAATATATCCTTATTAGTCATTTAATGTTAAACAACAACCGTTAACTATTGTATAACCAAACAGTTATATTTATCGAATCCGTTATTTACCATCCGCTATCTACTTTCCACTATCCGCTATCTACTATCCGCTATCTACTTTCCGCTATCCGCTATCTACGTTCCGCTATCCGCCACCCACTACCTGCTACAGCTATCTACTATATGCTACCTGCTATCCGCTATCCGCTGAATTTTAACCGCTGTACCAAACAGGCCCTATATCCAACAGGTCCTTAATTTTGAGTTTTGAAACTTTCCACTAATTTTAAATCTGCAACTTGAAAAATCTTTATAGAAGGAAACTTAGTTATTTAAGAAAAATCTTGGACTTTCAAAATTTAACAATATGGGTAAAATCGTTAAAAATGAAAAATTAATATTTTGTTATAGAAAGATAATGAAGTCACAATGCTGGTTCCTTTAAAAAAGGAAAATGAAAATTTCACAAATAGTTTGTTTCCAAAAATGATTGTGAAGGCTTTTAAGAATAAGTATCTTAGAGATAGATAAAATCATCCAAGGACAAAGGATGAGTATTAAAGTTTCATATTTACACTTGATTTTGTAGTCATAAAAAAGTAGGATTACAATTGACTCTGTATAACCTCAAATCATAACACCTGTACATGGCCCAGAAATTCGCACTTGTTTTAAAAATTGCTTACATATAGAGTAATGATCCTTTTATCTAAGTCTTAAATATTTTCTTTAAATTTGAAATGGCTCATGTAATTCAAATATCAAAAATATCCATAAAAAAAAAATCAAAAATAAATTTTATAATTAACAAAAATTGATATACTTGATTAGACATTTTTCAAAAGCCTCTTCACCAATCTTAAAGAATTTATGAAGGACAAGATCAAACCTAAGGCCTTTACCTCCCACTCCTATTGTTGATTAAATTATCGTAAACCTAAGCAGTGACATACTACACGAAAGATTCCCTCTAATTTTAAGTTTTTTCTTTTTTTTAATATAGAAATTTATAGATAATTTTGAAGAACAATAAAATTCCAACTTTGTGGTTGCAAAGTTGTTACATCACTTTGAGCAAAGATAATCCTTCTATTCTAAACTTTTTAGATTAAAATGATAAAAAAGTTAAAAAGATGATTTATTTATATATAAATTGTATATATTATACACATATAAAATTTTGATTTTTTTTAATATTTGAGATTAATCATAATATTTTAAATAAAAAATAATTATTTTTAATAAATATAAATAAATTTTAATTATTAAAAAATATAAATAAAAAAATTTATGTAAAAATATATATCTATACTCAAAAGTTAATAGTTGAAATAAATGAGTTATCTAAATTTGGGTAAAAAAATGGAAAAAAGAAAAAATGAATTGAGTAAAATATCTAAAGCCCATTAATTATAAAGAGCCCATAAACAATGAGGCGGTTTTGAACCATTCACTTGTCAAGTTTTGTTCTCTCGCGATAAACCCTCTTCTTTCTTCTATCCACTCCCCTTATCTTCCTTTCACTTCTTCCTCTAAAACCCTCTCATTTTTCCTCGAAAATGTCTTCTGCATTCAAGCCCTTGTCTGTGGCAGACTCATCTTGCTTACTTCCTCTTTCCTCCATCTTTACCCCTTCTTCCAAAGTTCACTGCTTGTCCATCCCACCAAGACCCATCAAGGTCAACCTCTCGTCCTCTCAATATTTTCTCGTTACACAGCTATGCACCCTCAGAACTAAGCCCCATGTCCCTTCTCTAGTCAGCTTTGTTGCCCAGACCTCGGATTGGGCCCAACAGGAAGACGACAACAACACTATCACCATTGATGAAGGGATTGACCAAGAACAGAGACAATTTGAATGGGAAAACCAGGAAAGTGAGGAGACTGAAGCCAAATTTTCGGATTGGGAACCGGAAGGGGAGGATTCAACGACTGAGGTAGCAGCAGAGAGTGAGGAAGATGGGACTTTTGAGGAGAGGGGGCCAGAAGAGGAGTTCGTAGAGCCGCCTGAAGATGCTAAATTGTTTGTTGGGAATCTGCCCTATGATGTCGACAGCCAAAGTTTAGCTATGCTCTTTGAGAAAGCTGGAACGGTGGAGATTGCAGAGGTGAATCATTTTTCCTGTTTGTCGAAATTTTGTTATTGAAGTTCTAAGTTCTAACTTTATATGTGGGTATGTCTTCTGTTGATGCATTTGGCTTCAGGTTATTTATAATAGGGAAACTGATCAAAGTCGTGGGTTTGGTTTTGTGACAATGAGTACTGTCGAAGAAGCTGAAGGAGCAGTAGAAATGTTTCATCGCTATGTAAGATTCTGTTATTTATTTTACTCAGAATCTGCATTTTATTGTGGCTTTGAAAATTTATATTCCAAATATAAATGAGCAAATTAAGGCTTTGGAGATGGAATTGATGTTTGTTTATCAATACACCTAAAATCAAATCATAGATAATGTGTTAAAGAAACAATCAGCAAGAGTTTGTCATATTATTCACTCCAGTTTTCTCCACTGTTGGATGAGAAACAAAAGAAGAAAAACCAGTAGTTTTTAGTAGACTGTGCTTTGGTGCCCCATACTTTTGTATGTTATTCATACATGATGTGTTACGAAATTATTAGTGATTATTGGCCTATATGATTCACTCTGGTTTTTTGCACTGTTGGATGGGGGCAACAAAAGAGAGGTTTGAAAAAAAAAAAAAAGTTGTGGTGTGTAGTAGATTGTATTGACATGGAATGTTTATTGGCATAAGTGAAAGATTCTTTTGGGGAAGTTGTATTCACAACAATTCTAATGTGGTTCGAATTGACTGTGGATGGCCAAAAAATTAATAACAATGACTTACCCCATTTTATGATGGCAATATGAGCTTGATTTAAGAAACTTTAGTGTTAGTTCTTGCATATTTAAGAAAACCATAAGAATGAGGAGAAAATGCTAACAAATAAGATTAATTTTAGAGTGCATTCTTTGGCAAAGTGTCAATTTATGGAAGCTAAAGGTCTTTATAGGATAAAGATAAATGCTACCTATGACTGCTATATATTCATGAAGCTGCAGTTGTTCTTTCTGTATTTATAAGTTTTTCTCTTTGCGTCTAGAACGTCCAAGGTTCGTTATTAGAACTTATATGCATACCTTTTTTTATAAAACTACCTTATATGCATGCTGCCTTAAGTTTTGTATTTTTTCTTTTATTTGTGGAGACATTTATGCATTTACAAGCTCCAAAGCTATATTCAGTGCTTATATTTTAGTTTTTCAGTGTTCTGCATTTTCATGTTTGACAGGATCTGAATGGAAGACTCTTGACTGTTAATAAGGCTGCTCCTAGAGGATCACGGCCTGACCGAGCCCCTCGTACATTTGAGTCTGCTTTTCGAGTATATGTAGGAAACCTTCCTTGGGGTGTGGATAATGCCCGACTGGAGCAGGTCTTTAGTGAACATGGGAAAGTTGTGGAGGCCCGTGTTGTCTATGACCGAGAAACAGGCCGTTCACGAGGTTTTGGTTTTGTGACTATGTCGACAGAAACTGAATTGAATGATGCCATTGCAGCTCTTGATGGACAGGTAACACAAGTGTTTTACTGTAATATCACTTATATCCAATAAATATATCATGCAGTAGAGTGCATGTATGAGTCTGAAAAGTTCATCTCTCATTGTCAGAATTCATACAAGTTTGTTAAATTAGTATGTGATGCAGGGAAGGTAGGGGTATAACAAACAGAAACTAAGAACCCCATAAAATTAAAGATGGAACCAGGAAAACTTAGGTTTTCAACCTCAAGTTTATTCTCAAACTAAAATGTCATAACAATAACTGCTTTAGAGATCTAAAGATAACTATATATGCTAGCAATAGCCAAGAATCCTAATTCAATACTAATTTGAACTTCTAATAATCTACGAACTCTAGTCCTAATTAAAAGTCACATGCTGTCCACATGACTTTCCTAAAATTAAAACTTGACTCCAAATAAAACTCAAACTTAATGCAAACAAACACCCCTAAAACTAATCATTAAAAAGAACTCTATGCTCCTGCATCAGTATGTATCAAATGTCATTAATTAAGATGGATCGGAAAGGCAAAGGGTAAAAGAAGATATTGGACAGAATTGATGAATTTGAGAAGAAACATAACATCTTTATTGTATTCTGACTGTTATATTTGCTTATTGTGGATTTGCAGAATCTGGATGGGAGGGCAATTAAAGTAAATGTTGCAGCGGAAAGACCAAGGCGAAGCTCCTTTTAACCTAAATGATTTAGATACATGAGGAGATGCTGCTTCCTTTCCTTTTTATTTTTTATTTCTTTATTTTGCTACTCCTTCACTTTTAGGGTTTCCTTTGATTTCTTTCTTTTTATTTTTATATTTAAAGATTATTTGCAGTTGAGGTTTCCCCCTATTTGAATGGATCTTTATGTGAAGTTTGAAGGCATTAAAAGTAATTCATATGAATTAATCCTTCAAGTTGGTTGATCAAAATTGCTTTGTTGTGCAAGTTTCATAAATCCTGGTAAGTGCATTATCGTTTTATCCAAGAATACAAAAATTAAATTCTAGGTTTATACTAGTCAATATTGGTCCAGTAGCAAATTTTTTGGCTGAGCTATGGACAATATGGAAAGGGTCTGTGACTTAGTTTATTCCTGGCATTCCGATCTCAGAGCTAAAATGGATTCGGCTTGTGCACTGTTCATATGATCAATGGTAACAAGTTGCTTCTCTGATTTTATTTTAAATGGAAAAACCGATAAGCTTTGTTGAGTTTCCTCCCAATTACTCTTAATGGGAGGTTTGTAAATTAAAAATAGTTGATAGGTTTTCGTGACTTTGGTGATCATCTGTGGTATTGGAATATTGCAAATACTTACTGGTTTTGGTGGGCAAAGCGCAACAGGATGGCAACCTCTCAATTACGTTTAATGGGAGGTTTGTAAATTAAAAATAGCTGATTAGATTTTGTGACTTTGGTGCTCATTTGTGGTATTGGAATTGCAAATACTTATTGGTATTTGGCAGGCAAAGCACAGGATGCCAGCCTCTGCCCGAGCTAACCATATAATGGCTACCAATAGTAGCACTATATGTCTTCTATCCACGTTAGTGATGTATTCTTCTATACAAAAGAAAAAATAGGATGTCTGGGTATTTTTCATAACTATAAAAATGTCAAGATATTTAATTTCCATCATATAATAAATGAAACTTTTTACTTATATATAAGGATTTTATTATATTTCTCTCATCATACAATTTTAATTAAATACCTTAACATGAGGCCAATTTAACAGGTAACTCAATTCTTCTCACTAAGATCTTAGTTAGAAGCATTAGCTGACTCATTCCTTTTAAAATATTACGTTTTGATTTTACACTTCATTCTTCTTTGCCGATAATTACACTTATGTCGTACTAATTTCCAAGTTGCTCACTCAACAACCCTGGCGTCTATTATTAAATTAACTTTCTAGAAAAAATAACAATAACTTCCTGAAAGTTAAAAGCAAAAGTAAGTTTCCCTTTTTTCTTTTTTTTTGTACGTCAATAGCAGGTGCATCTTGCAACCGTAACTTATTAAGCCTTATAGAATGACGAATTCATTGGAAACGAAACATTATGTTTTAAGTTCAAAGCATAAGGGTGACAAGCATTTTCAAACAAGGACATCAGAGAAGCACCACACCAAAATATTCTGTACAATAACCGGATACCAGATATTCTGAAACCACCTCTTTCCTTCTCCAACAACGACATATAGTGCAAAACCCCCAAGCCAGACACATCTTCAAAATCAATAGCCCCTTAACTGAGCATCACGACTGGTCAAAGGAACATAACGGACAGACGTCTCACTCCGAACACTAATAGATCCATCCAAGTTTTTATTCACTACCTTAAGATCTTGGAATATGTTTCCTACAGGAATCACCATTCTGCCTCCAGGTTTCAACTGGTCAATAAGGGGCTGCGGGATTTCAGGTGCTGCTGCTCCAACATGTATGGCATCATATTGTGCGCACTCTGGCCAACCTTTCCTTCCATCTGTGAGAATTACATCATTACATGATATTATTATTGTAAGCATTCAACAAACCAATGATTCTCGAGAAACTAAAGGATTGGCCAAACATATTTCTTCTTACAAGCAAACCATATTGAAGAAATCAGAGGTATGCACCTAGCAGCTAATAATGCTAACGACATGCCCAGAATTCTTAAATAACTGATCAGGGAACCAGGAAAGGTATTCAAGGAAATTATACTGTTTAACTGTAACTAAAATTCAATCAAGAAAAGAAATTGAAGTGAATTTATGGTGAAGTTTTTCAATGAACATACCACCAACATGCACGGAGAGGGAACCTTCTTTCAATAAAGAAGCTGCAAGGCTTTTTTCAATATTTTTAATGGAAGAAGCCACCAGCTCAGGAATATGTTCCACACCAATAGCACGACCTTGTGGTCCAACCATTAAGGCAAAGCAAGCTGTCAGATATCCAGTGCCTACAAAAGACACATGAAACACTGAAATTATATATATATATATATATATATATTTTGGCTGAGATTATGCAATTACATTCAGAAAAAGAAAGAATATTGAATCCCAGACAAATCAAATACTTCCAGTTGACTTAGAATGCAAACGCTAAAAAAGCAACAGATCAAATATGGTTAGTTAAATGCCAATTTAGTCCTTGAACTTTGCACTTTGAATACTTTTGGTCCTTTAACTATTTTCAGCACTTTTTTGGCCCCACAACTCTACAAATTGTACTTTTTTCGTCCTACCATTAGTTATGTGATGATGTAGCCATTAATTCAATCCAAAATGGCACTATTTTGATGATGTGACACATCATGAAATTAGCTGACATAGACTCATGAGCCCAAAAATGTTTAAAATAGGGAAGAAGTCTGAGGAGGAGAAAAAAGATTTTAGGGGTATTTTTTCCATTTTGTAAGTTTTGATATTTTAATTTATAAAGAATTTTATTGGTAGATGGTTTTTAGTTTTATAATTTATTAGTTTTTCCATTTCAGCCACAATTGCCAACATGGATGCCACATACTCTCTCCAACTAAGCTAAGGGACCCATTTAAATGGACAAGTCATCAAAAAATTGAAAGAAAAATACATTTTTTCATTACTTTACAACAAGGTGATGAAAAAAGTGCAATTCGTAGAGTTGAAGGGCCAAAAAAGTGCTGAAAATAAATCAGGGACCAAAGGGTCCAAAATCCAAAGTTCAGGGAGTAAAATTAGAATTTAACCAATACCTTATAGGCACTTCAACTCCCCCTGCACCCCCATCTCCAAAAACACCACCAATACTTCTCTGTTTTTTCCCCCTATATTAAACCATCATTCGTGCATGGATTGCTAATGTGTTATCACAAAAAAGGGAATGGGATGATACCTGAGCCAACATCTAAAGCACGCATGCCTGGCTGCAAATTCTCCTCTAACAGTTGAAGACATGTTGCATGCATATGAGGAGCAGAAATGGTGGCATTGTAGCCTATTGCCATGGGAGTATCAACATAAGGTGGGGTACCATCTGGTACAAATAAAGCCCTATCAATTTTCTCCATTACTTCAGCAACTTTCTTTGATGTAATCACACCATAACGCTGCAAGTGCTCTACCATTGCTTTATTCTTGTCAATTGCACTTCCACTCCAGAATCGCTAAAAAAAATCAAGAGAACATATTTCTCAACATTAATTAACAGAAGAAGAGATAAAAAAGTCCAGTCTACATGCCAAGAGTAAAACAAACTGTAGTTAATAGAAATCAGGAGACAAACCAGAAAGGGAAAAAAGCTCATAATTGGAAAAAAAGAAAAAAAAAAAAGTAACTTGATACTAGAATGCACTGATATCCCTATAGAATGCCACCAAACTTAAGCATGTGTAACCATCATCACTGCCCTTTCACAAAATCCAAAAACAAATCCTCCTTTGTCAGACAACTTCAATCTGAAATCATCAGAGTAGATACTCTTCAAAGTTGGACAGCTTCCATATCAGCACTAGCTAGGGGTCAAGTTTGTGGGGTTCATGGTTCCTGTACATATTATGTTATCATTAAAAAGAGCACTATGAACCCTAGTTTAAATGGCCAGAAAAATTTAGCATGTCTACCACACTACTTGACACATATTTTCCTGCCCGACAAGAATGACAAAAATCCCTGTCCCAACATTCCCAGTGGGGCTCCACACTTCTCGGGTGGGATATTTCTCCACACAAATCAGGAATGGAGGACTTTATCCACCTCAATCCTCATTGGGCACTATGAAACCTAGTTGAAATGGCCACAAAATTTAGCATGTCCACCACACTACTTGAGCCATATTTTCCTGTACAATAAGAATGACAAAAATCCCTGTTCCAACATTCCCCACAGGGCCCACACTTACCATGTGGAATATTCCTCCACAGATTGGGAATGGGAGACCCCAATCCTTGCTAGAAATAATCTTCCTAACATCCAGCCCACTTTTAAAATTGGACAACCTTCCCAAGGTTGAGCCCACTTTCAAAATTAGTCAATTAACAAGAAATTCAAGCCAACACATTATTCTTCTCAATTTTGTTAATCCCTTTATTTACATATAATGTTATAGATATATGAGATATTGATCCCTTATATATGTGTAAGTCTTACATAAATTATCAATAGTTGATTTTCCAATCCAACAGTTGAGATGATATTACCAAACACACACACACACACATATATAAGAGAAAGAGAGACAGAAATGAAATGATCCACTTAGACATGTGTAAATCTTACATTAATTATCAGCCATGGGTTGAAATGATGGTACCATATTCAGTCATATCTCAAACAGTTGGATTTAAAAAATCAACAACTAATAATTTATGTAAGTGTAAGTGGATCTTGGGTATATGAAGACACAAAAATGAAACTTGACAGTGGAAACTCATTCATCTTACAAGGTTCAAGTTGATAAATGAAAATCTAATCATTTCATTTTTTCGCATGAGCTTAGTGAAAGAAAGATGATGAAGATTTTGAAAAAGCATTGGCAGGGATGAGATTCCCATTTCTGCAAGTACAGGGCAGTAGTGGAATTTGTCCCAGCTAAAATTCCTTGTGAGAATCCAGGGTTGGTAGCGACACAGGGATGTAATGGCTCTCCACAGCCACAGCCCAGCCCTTTGCATCCCTGGTGTACAACCACTCCAACTCAACTGACACTTCTTTGCACCAATATGAACAATATATAACCCACTTAACAACCAAAAATGAAAAGACTGACAGCCAATAGCCAATTTGAAACCACCAGCAATTCCGACACTAAAATACAAGAAGCATCATACTACCTAAAATACACTTCAACTGTCCAAATTACATTTCAATTTAAAAATTGCGAAATTGAACTCATCTGTTGTATGTATAGAGTGCTCTGTTCATGTTTCAGTTCAATCCAATGGCAATTGAATAATATCTCAATAATTAAATAAAGCCTCATGTAAATGATAAAAATTTCTGCCTCCAAATTTCACGTAGAAATAACTGATAACCCAGAACACCAAAACAGAAGGAAATTTAAGGGTAAACTGTTACCATCATCGATCAAAACAAGGGGGGAAGAAGAAGTTAGAAGAAGTTACCTCCATCCTGAAGAAGAGAGAGTTACCCGTGAGGAAGCGATTGAGGTTGTTGAAAGAAGAGTGCAAGAGCGAAGGGCGACGGTGGTGGTGATGAGGAGGGAGGAGGGTGTAGCTTAAGAGCTGCTTAAAAGGGGGCGCAAAGTAGCGGCAACCGTAGGCTATTACTGAGGAATAGGATAGATTCATTTTTGGTTTTTTATTTTTTTTTATCCTTTATTCCATCTTTCTCGCTTCATCTCCCACTTGCTTTTACTCTCCAATTCGCACACGCAGCTGTTCACCACCGAGTCCTTTTCGCACAGGTGCGGGCCTGCTCACGAGCCACGCCCATGGAATGACAGCCCATGGAATGACAGCCCAAATTCACCTCCAAGTTCCAACAATAGTTGTAGAGACAGATCTATCTGAAAAAAATAAATAAATAAATAAAAACACAAATCCACCACCAACTTATTAGGTTAATAAATAATTCAAAATTTGACTTATGATGTAATTTTTTTAATACTTATATTAACTGTTTTTAAATTAATTTATATATAAAGTTATATTAATTTTTTTTAATAATTTTAAAGGTACATTTTACATTGATTTAAAATTACCGTATCTAATGTGTACATTTATAATAAAATCACTCGAGAATAAAACAATCTCAAATTGAGCAAAAGACTGCTACAAACAGTTTAACCATCCACTTGAAGAAAAAGAAAAAAAAAATGAAAGAGCTTGATTTACATTATCTCTCATGCCCATTACGATGTCTTGCATATGCTGCATGCCTCGACAGCTTCAGTTGACAGTCTCCAATTGCCCTGCAGTACATGGCTAATTATCATGGACTAAACCAAAACAACAAAGCTCACGACATGATTCCAAAAAAAAAAATAAAAAAAAGGAAAAAATGGAAAAAAAGGGCTAAACATAAACTTGATAGCTGCTGAAGAGTGGAGTGTATCACTTCGTTGAACCCTTGAGGAAAAGATGCAAAAATTAGAAACTGTTGGGGGACTGACCCAATATTAATGATGAAGCCCAAAAGGTATATAAGGCTTAAAAGTGCAAGCACAGTAATCATGTTACATCCATGTGATTAAAATAAGTGTACCAATAGAGTAATGACATATGACAGGATTGTCATGAATGAGAGCCTATAAATATCCCCTAACTACCCCCACACAAGGCAATAACTCCACTATGTTTCTTTCTCTGCAATTACTTCTCTTGAAAGCTTTTATTTATATTATAGAGTATTGCTGACTTGAGTGTAGGAGTGTTTATCTCGAAGAAACATTCTCATGTTTTTCAGGTGTTGGAGCTGTTCGTGATCTAAACAGTATGAGTTCGTGAAGCTGCCCAAACATTTGGCATTGTCCATGGGAACTAAAACAAAACAATTGTGTTGTTTTACCAATCAAGCCAAAAATGGTGTGAACTTTCATAGGTTTTCAGCCTCCTCAAGTGAATCGATGGAGCGATCAAGCCCCTCCCCCAAGAATTGACCCACATGGGTTCAAACATTTGCCCGACAATTTATTCATGGGTTGGGAAGAGGAAGTACACGACAATAGCTTTGACAAAGAAAGAACCCTAATGGGCTATGAAACAAAACCCAAAGGATAGGAGCAACAAACCCTATTGAGAGCTCGACCAGTTAGGCTAGCAACTTGAATAAAACCTTTTATGTCGGCTGCATAGAATTCTGAGCTTCAAGAAAGAACCAAAATCCTGGAAATGGCTATGGGAAAAATTCTATCACATCGTATCTCGGATGACCCTTTGATTCCTTTGTTAAACAAAGGTGAACAATAGTTAAGAACCTTATCTTGTTGTTCCCCAACGCTGAGCAATATTGTTATACCCACTAAGCCCAGGGGAAGTGGACGACCTAACACGAAACCTAGCTTGCCAAAGTCAAACGAAGAACTATTGAAAAAGAATGCCAAACTTGAGAAACAATTAGTTGCTTCAGGCCCCAAACCTAGATAATGCCTTTCTCATCTCTTCAATCACATCAGAACCTTGTCAAGAAGGGTTTAAAATTCCCCACCTCAAGACTTATGATGGGTCAAGTGACCCAAATGAACTTTTGCATACTTATTAGACCATCATGAAGATATAAAATGCTTCATATGTAATTATGTGTAAGGTGTTTCTAGCTACTTTGAAGTCAACTACCCAAAGATGGTATCATAAACTCCCAAGACATTTAATCACTTAATACTTCTAGCTCGCTACTTTATCTTTTAACAAATTTGCGAGCCAGAGGGAAATAAAACACATAGACATAAAGCTTATGCAAGTTCACCAAAAAGAAAGTGAGTCCTTAAGAAATTATATATAGAGATTTAATAAAGCTACTTTAGACATTGACAATGTCTTAGACATAATCTGGTTGTTTGTCCTGTTGCATGGGCTAAGAATTGGTCGCTTCCTTGACGACCTTCTTAAAAACCCACCAAAGGCATGGAGTGAAGTCCATGATAGGTCGACGAGCTTCATTTAGTTAGAGGATTTTTAGTTGTCCAAGAGACGAGTAGATGATAAACCAAGAAAAGACTCAGAACAATAAGAAAGGAAGAATGAGAAAAAGAAACAAAAAGTTGTTGACCTGAGAAGAAGGTAAGGCAATTTTCAAGCCTCAGTTAAGTATGCAAATTACACCTCGTTGAGCTTGTCAAGGTCATAGATTCTGGCCCAAATACAAAAATGGGTAAAAAGCCAGCCCCCATGCTTTTTGACCCAACCAGAATGGACAAGAACATGTATTATGATTATTATTGCGATTATGGTCACCACATAGAAGCTTGTCAGAACTTGAAAAACGAGCTAAAGTTCTTAGTTTGAAGTGGGAAGGTAGAATATTACATACAAAAAGTCATTCTCCTAGCAATCTAATTAAATACACTATGTGCAGGATTATGTACAACCACAATTGCAGGGATACCAAGTTGACAGCAACTAAGGAACATATCTAGGAATTTCCTTCTCTTCTTATGCTAGTAAAAGTTTTAAAGGCCACCGAGGGGCAAAAGGGGGCAAGGCCAAAGAATTGCCACTCAAAATAAAAAAGAGAATAAGGGGCTAAGTTATAGTAGAATTTCCCCACCAACGGGCACAGTCAACATGATATCTAGAAGAATGCATGCAGGTGGTCAAAGTGCCCAAGGTCGCAAGACTTATGCTTGTCAAGTGATGACATTAAATAAGAACATGCCCCACAAGCACCCTTTTGAAGAAACTGAATGGGAGAATGCACCTATCACATTCAACTCATTTGATTATAAACAACTTGATGGGGAGCCAGATGTAATCATGCCTCATGCTAATCTATTCAGGGCTGCTATGCATATCGACAACCATACTATGAACAACGTCTTCATTGACATAGGTAACTCTCTAAATATTTTATATTGGTAGTGCTTTTAAAAGATGCAATTGAATCTAGCTTCTTTAAAAAAAGTATGAAAGCCTTATATATGGATTCGATAACCAACCCATTCCAGTGGAAGGAGTGATTACCCTACCAATATATATAGGCACTGAGCCAAGGTATAGGATAGCATTAGTGAACTTTCTCATGGTGAAGATGGAATTACCTTTTAATGCCATTATTAAAAAGGGCACTTCATGCAAGTTGAAAGCAATTGTCTCACAGCCACATTTATGCATGAAGTTTCCTACTCCTAATGGCATAGAAGTGCTGAGAAGGAACTAGAAAATGGCCATGACCTACTACAAGACACCTTTAAAAAGGTTGAGCTCAGTACGACTCCTTGAGCATCTACATTTCAACCATCTTTGCTTAGCTAACTTGGCTTGCAAACTATGAGCATCTCTAATGTGGATCATAAACTAGAAGGTGTTGAACAAAAAGCTGAGTCGGTGGAACCAATAGAGACAATTCCTTCGAACTCGACTAAACTAGAAAGAACAATAAGAATTAAGACCAAATTTACAGCCGAGGAGAAAGCAAAGCTTCTAGCCTTTTTAAAAGCTAATAGGGATGTCTTCGCTTGGACAACAAATGAAATGCCAAGCATTCCAACTAAATTTGCAATTCACAAATTGAGCATGGACTCAACTAGGAAGCCCATAGTACAAAAATGTCACCTATTTGGCCTAAAAAAAGGTAGCAATGGATGAGGAGATACAAAAGCTATTACAAGTTGGCTTCATAAAAAAAGTGGAGTATTTTAAGTGGGTATCAAATCTTGTGCTTGTCAAAAAACCTAAAAGAAAATGGAGGATGTGCATAGACTTTACAAACTTGAATGATTTATGCCCTAAAAACCCTCACTTGTTTCCAAATGTGGAGAAGTTGGCGGAGTAAGTGACTGGACACAAACAAATGAGCTTCTTAGATGCAAGTTCAGGACACCACCAAGTTCAATTGTGGCTAGACGACCAATAAAAACAACATTCTTTTGTTAGGGATGCATTCTATTATTATGTATGATGCCATTTAGATTGAAGAATGCTAGGGCAACATACGAGAAGCTTATTCAATTCGTCTTTAAGCTCTTAATTGGTAGGAATATAGAGGTGTACATTGATGATATGATTGTCATTAGTCTCCGAGCTGAAAACCACTTAACCAACTTGAATGAGACCTTTCAAAATCTTCACCGAGCACAGATGTAGTTAAATGTTATCAAATGTACCTTCGATGTAGAATCTAGCAAGTTTTTGGGTTATGTAGTCTCTAAAAAAGGAATCAAGGTGAACCCAGACAAGGTGCAAGCCATTCAACAAATGGAACCCCCTAAAACATTAAAGGACATGCAATGCTTGACGAGCAGGCTAGCAGCTTTGCATAAGTTTGTCGCCAGATTGGTAGAAAAATATCTCCCATTCTTTAAGGTCCTTAGGAACCCAAAGGACTTTCATTGGACAAAGGAGTGCTAGTAGGCTTTTGATGAACTAAAGCGTTATTTAACCACACCACCTTTACTTGTCAAACCAATAGACAAGGTGACATTGTACATGTATGTAGGAATTGCATATGATGCTGTGAGTTCAATGTTACTAAGAGAAGAAAACGGGCACCAAAAACCTATTTGGAATACGAGTAAAGAAACGATACCTGTTTGTCAAAAAGGCAGCTTTTGCCCTTGTTTATGCTGCTAAGAAACTAAGAACCTACTTCTAGTCGCATCATATCATCATTTTCATTGATTTGCCATTGAGGAAAATACTTCAAAAGTTGGAAGTATCAAGTCATGTAGTTGGTAGGGCCATTGAGCTTAGTGAGTATGACCTAAAATTTGAGCCT